AAGTCTTCCCAGGAGCCAGTGTTGGTGGGGTGTGGCATGTTTCAGGGGTGAGCTCTAAGTTTCTCACCCTCCTCCCTCAGAGGCTGCGGAGCCCTGCCTGGCTCTCGCTCTCTGCTCCTTGGGCTCCTGGAGAAGCAGCTTCTTCGCCTGGGACCCAGGCCATTTCTCAGCTTCACATTAGCCTTACTCCCCTCACAGCCCCCTTGAGCCCCGCCTGCAGGGTCCCTCACGAACACCCTGAGCCTGAGTCTCCCCAGATCTCGCTTTCAACAGTTTTCCTGATGTCCACAGTGGCTTCCCAGGGCTCTGAGGATGAAGGCTGGAATCAGCCAGGCACTGCCAGGCCCACCTGTTTCCTCTGTCTCCTCGGCTCCAGGACCACGTTGGCTCCCCTCACATCTCGCTCCTCCTGCCTCAGGGCCTTTGCACGTGCTGCTTCTGTTTCAGTGTCAGAATCACTTCCCAGCCTTGCTGGGCACCCCAGTTCCTGGCTCCTTCACCTCATCTCCTTCACACCTCCTGATCCATCATCTTGGCTCTCACATGCTACATCCTCAAGGCTCTGAACCGTGTTTTAATTACACACTTATTCACAGAACTGTTTGATACACACCTATGTCAGCCATCAATTATTCCAAGCCTTTCCCTTCTCCATCGTGTCCCAGGGCTTGGCCCGGGGCTCAGCCGAGGGTAGATCTGTACGTCTGATCCCACAGCTGTCCACATGCCTAAAGAACGAGCGCCTGCTGGCCTCTCCTTACCGCCGCCCACACAGGGATCGAGGGGAGTTGAGACCCTCCCTAGAGTGAGCACGTGGGCTGCCCTGCAGCTGTGACCCCCCAGTTTCCCCCACTGTGCACCTGGCTGGCACACAAGAGGCATGATTTGCAAATGGAGCGATGGCCATTCCTTGTGTAGGCTAAGCCCCTGCACCCTCTGCGGCTTCGTGTGGGCAGCAGCGTCGGGGAGGGGGACCTGGGAAAGAACTTGGCCAAACACTGGGATTCTCTGGCAGGAAACAGGCTGAACCAGCAGGTGGCTTGGCTCTGGAGTTGGGACCCACGGGCCTGTTCTTTCTCAAACAGGTTTGCCAAGGCCGGGTTTGACATGTGCTCACCACTGAGCACATCAGAAAGGGACAGAGCAATGGCCAAAAGGCAGGATTCATGAGCACTTGGAGGGACTTGCCTAAGGACCTGGGCCTAAAAACGATGTGGTTTCGCATCTCTCACCTAGGAGCAACAAAAGCGAAAAGGATCATTATAATAAGGTCTTAGCGTATGGAGGGAAAGGCTGGGACAGAGGGCCAGGCCGTCTGTCGGAAGTCACATGGATCTGCACGATTGGAGCCAGGCTCAGCGAGTGAGCTTGCACTTTCAGAAGAACCCAAGGGACTCTGGGATGGACCCAAGGTTCCCTGGTTAAGGGTCAGAGCTGTCCTCCCCAGACACGCCCTGAGGGGGAGCCAGCCCACTGTCTCAGCAGCCCCCTGTGGTTTCTCTACTGGTTCCAAAGCTGAATTCATGTATATTTCCTACCTTGGAGCTGAGACCAACCATTTGGCCTGTCTTAGAAAGGCCTCCTCCCTACCCTCACTGTGGGGCTACCTTCCTACCAACCCTGGGGCCAGCCCTTGTGTCTCTGGGGTTTCTGCCAGTGCCTGGCCTCTGTCCCTTCCTGTAAGTTCTGCTCCAAATAGTAAGCGCCAGTTTATTGAGCACTTATTACAAATTGAGCCTCCCATGGGGTCAGTATTCCAACCACCGTTTTCCCATGTGAGGGAACAGGTTCAAGCCCTAGTGCTCTAGGTCAGGTCACAGGTGGGCTGGCAGAGCTAGGATGGAAAGCTTCCAGATTTGTTGTCTTGAATTTTGACTCCTGGAGAGACTAAGCTGGGAGCCGAGGTGGTGGTGTTTGCAGCACCCAGGGTGGGTATGGGGGGAGGGCTTGAAAAGGGGGTTCTGAGCAGGACATCTGTGGTTCCGCGAGGGCCCCACCCCAGCACCCCACCTGGCTCCAGGTGAAAATGACAGCTACAGCTTCCAAGCAGGCTCCTGCGCCCAGCCAGCCAAGCTCGCTGCTGGCACACGATCCCCTTAATTGCTCCCCTTAATTGCCAAGGCTCCCAATTAACGTGGGCTGCCGTGTCTGGTGCTGGGTTATTTCCTCTTATTTTCCGGTTTCCCCGAGTTTACTATTTCAGAGAGACGCGGGCTCTGCCGCGGTGTTTGTCTCGCTCCCTTCCCACCCTCACCGGAGGAACACTGAAAAGGAGCAGGTGATGGCAAACCCGCCCAGCCGCCCGCGCGCCCCCTC